GAAAGGGGTGTAAGGGATATCTGTGTTCTGTATTGACTGTATCTATTGATGATAATGCTAACGTGAACAGTATTCCTATAGTCAAAGAATTCCCAGATGTATTTCCAGATAATCTGCCAGGGGATTTGATTGACAGAGAGATTGAATTTACCGTTGATGTGATTCCGGGAACGCAGCTAGTATCTAAAGCTCCTTACCGAATGGCTCCAACTGAACTGAAGGAATTAAAAGTGCAACTGCAAGAACTGCTAGATAAGAAGTTCATCAGGCCTAGCATTTCGCCATAGGGCGCTCCTGTTTTATTTGTAAAGAAGAAAGACGGCTCACTGAGACTGTGTATTGACTACCGTGAACTGAACAAGGTAACTGTGAAAAATAAATACCCATTGCCACGTATTGATAACTTATTTGATCAGTTATAGGGTGCTCAAGTGTTCTCTAAGATTGACCTCAGATCAGGATACCATCAGTTGAAAGTTAAACCAGAAGGCATTGACAAAACTGCTTTTCGAACGGGGTATGGACATTACGAATTTTTAGTTATGCCTTTCGGAGTTACCAATGCACCTACTGCATTTATGGACCTCGTGAACAAAATCTTTAAACCATACCTTGATGACTTTATTATAGTATTCATTAATGACATACTGATTTACTCCAAAAGTATAGAATAACATGAACATCATCTGAGACTTGCCCTACAGATCTTAAGAGAATAGAAACTATATGCTAAACTGTCTAAATGCGAATTTTGGCTTAACCATGTTATGTTTTTGGGGCATATTGTTAGCAAAGATGGAATTTCTGTTGATTCGCAGAAAATTGAAGCTGTAGTAAACTGGCCTAGACCAATAAATGTGACAGAAGTCCGAAGCTTTTTGGGTTTGGCTGGATATTACAGAAGATTTGTCAAAGATTTCTCTAAGATTGCCTTACCATTAACTCAGTTAACTCAAAAGGGGATATCATTTGACTGGACTGACCAAAGGGAATCAGCATTCCAAGAATTGAAAACTCGACTTGTGACTGCTTCAGGTACCGATGGTTATACTGTATTTAGTGATACTTCTCATAAGGGTTTGGGATGTGTTTTAATGCAGAATGGGAGAGTTATTGCTTAAGCTTCCCAACAACTGAGACCGCACGAAAAGAATTGCCAAACCCATGATCTGGAACTTGCTGCAGTAATATTTGCACTGAAAATCTGGCGTCATTATCTGCATGGGGCGACATGTGAAGTATATACCGACCACAAGAGTTTGAAATATTTCTTCACACGGAAAGAACTAAACATGAGACAGCGGAGATGGCTAAAACTGATTAAAGACTATGACCTACAGATTTTGTACCATCCCGGGAAAGCCAATACCGTTGCCGATGCACTGAGCCGGAAATCGATTGGAAACATAGCCTGTTTGCTTACCGGGCAGAAAGAATTACTTTGTGACCTTGAAAAATCCGAAATTGAAAATTGTTTTGCGAGAACAAGGTGGAACCTTAGCTGCTATTTCTGCTCAACCAGCACTGATTGAAGAGATTAAAGAGAAACAGCAACTGGATGACTTCTTGAAGAAGATCATCAAAGAAAGGGAAACTAAACCCAGACCGGGTTTCAAATTTGAAAATAATGTACTAAAATTTCAAGAAAGACTGTGTGTACCAAATAATATTGAATTGAAAAGAAGAGTTCTGCAAGAGGGCCACAATTCAAAATTTTCTATCCATCCAGAGAATACGAAAATGTACCAAGACCTGAAACTAAATTTCTGGTGGCCGGGAATGAAGAAAGAAATTGCTGATTTTGTATCGAAAGGTCTTCATTGCTAACAAGTTAAAGCCGAACATCAACGACTCGCAGGCATATTGCAGCCCTTACCCATACCGGAGTGGAAATGGGAATATATCACCATGGATTTTATTGTGGAATTGCCTCGCTTCAGTAAAAGTATGGACTCAATTTGGGTTATTGTTGATAGACTGACTAAATCTACTCACTTCTTACCTATTAAGACAATTTATACTCTATATTGATGAAATTGTTAGACTGCATGGAGTGCCTGTGTCCATTGTTTCTGACAGGGATTCGAAGTTCACATTAAGATTTTGGCAAAGCTTATAGCCTGCATTGGGTACTGAATTGAGACTAAGTAGTGCTTATTGTAACAATTTGGGTTATTGTTGATAGACTGACTAAATCTACTCACTTCTTACCTGTTAAGACAATTTATAATGCGGACAAATTGGCTATACTCTATATTGATGAAATTGTTAGACTGCATGGAGTGCCTGTGTCCATTGTTTCTAACAGGGATTCGAAGTTCACATCAAGATTTTGGCAAAGCTTACAGCCTGCATTGGGTACTGAATTGAGACTGAGTAGTGCTTATTGTAACAACCCTCATACTGTTTACCGATTAATGACTGATTGATTACCGATAAACATTGATTACCGTTAAACTGAACTGATTATGATTGATAATTGGACTGGTTCAAGTACTGAATTGACTGAGAGAAAACTGGAACTGAATTGACTGAGTGTGTATATTAATTTGTATTCTATCTGTTCGATTGATTATTTGATCTGTTTGTGTTTTATGTTTAAACTGCTAATTGAAGGCCTTATCGGCAGCCGAACCGGGAATTGGTTAGTGTTCTATGATCCTTAGAATTAATGTGATTTTGTGGTATAATTATCTGAAAACTGTTAGGTATGATTAAATTAGATTAAACATTGATCAATTGCATAGTTTGATTTATTTACCATTTTGCCACATGAGTGGCCCACTACCTAGTTATATTTGAGCCTCATTACACCTAGATCAAACATTTGCTCAGCCATTTCCCTTGTTCTTGCCGACCAAGAGAGGAGATAGGAGAGAATTGAGTTATTTTTGTTGAATTGGCTTGAATTGCTTGGAATTGAAGTGTAAATTGTCAATTGGACTCCTAAACTTTGAATACAAGACTAAGATAGGACATTCATCTTCTTGTTGTTGTCATAGAATTAATTCTTGCATGATTCATGCTTCAATTGTAGAGTTAAGTCTTGTTTTAGTTCATACATGTAGGATTAGAACATAATTCATGCATGCATGTTTGAATTGATGAGTTTTGAGTTGAATTCATGGAAAAATTGTACATGCATGTTCATAATTAGGCTTGAGTCCATGAATTCATCATGTTCTTGAAGAAATGAGTCTATCTGAACAAGCTTTGAAGGTTGAATTTGGTTTAAAATTCATGCATGTTTGCATGTTCTCCATGTTCATGAAATTGGTTTGAAATTGGGTTTGAATTAAACACCCTTGGGCTTTGATTTCTTAAAATTGAGCTTTGAACCATGATGGCTCCAACTGAACTGAAAGAACTGAAAGTGCAACTGCAAGAACTGTTAGACAAAAAGTTCATCAGACCTAGTACCTGTGAAACCCCGTATTTTTATATAATAAAAATAATATTTCCCAGATTTTGCACTTCCGCTCGAGCGGGGAAAGTGGCGCTCGAGCATGGAATCCGAGCATCCAGTATTTCTCTACACTATTTTACAGTCCGCTCGAGCGGAGGATTGGGCGCTCGAGCGGAGGATTGTGCCTCAAGCTCGAGCGGCGTCGAGCGGAGATTTCACCCATCTAGTACTTTTACAGTACGCTCGAGCAGGAAAGTTGATGCTCGAGCGTGTACCTTTGTTTCATGTCCGCTCGAGTGGGTAAACCTGCGCTCGATGGGGACTCTGTTTTCTGAATATTCTGAAACTGCTTTTTGAGTACATCTTTGCATCCTCATCCCATTCTAGGCTTTTTTTGAATTTAACAGTCTGTATATTTTTATACTGAAAATTTATTCAAAATAAAATAAAATAAAATATTTTTGACTTTATATTATTACTCAATATTAATTTCTGAGTCGTATGATATTTTTATTATATTTTTCTCTATATTTTTTTTTTGGTAATCAAATTACACTGAAACCTTATATTTTCTGTACTAAAACCCAATCAAAAACCATGGGTTTGCTACCCCAGGTTTTCTTACATTCCACCTTCAACGTGGTGAACATGCTGACCAAGTGTTCAATTTCTTTTTTTTTTTTTATTTCTTTTCATTTTCTTTTATCTTCTTTTACTCTTCCTCATTTTGCTTCTCTTCCAATTGCATAGCTCTCTCTCTCTATCCGTTTCATCTCTCTCTCTCTCCATCCATCTCTCATTATCAAAACTCTCTTTCTCCTTTATCTATGTTTTTCCTCCTTTCCCAACCTCCATAGCCATGGCCTCAACCCACACTATCGCCAACCCGCGAACTTCACCACCATTGGCGCACCGTCGGACCGGCACCACCACCATCACCTATTTCTATTATCATCTAGAACCACCATCCACAAAGTGTTGTAGGTGAAGAAAGAGAAGAAGAAAAAAGATGGAGGAGAAAGAAACAAAGTTAGAGAAATTTATTTTGAAGTTCAAAAGTTGGTTTTCGGCTTACTTTCGGCATGCCAAAACCATCCATTCTGGGAAGAAGTGACACAAATAGGCCATGTAAGATGAAGTACGAAGTAAGTTGAAGAGATTGGCGAAAGAATGAAGTAAAACCGTTAAGAATTAAGAAAGTTATGGGGTCCGAAAGATGGTTCGAAAAAAATGTCCGAGACGGCAGGAAAATAATCTTATTTTTGGTCAAATTTTGGAGATCCGACGGCATGCAAAAAGAGATGGAACGAGGCGTGTGAGTAGTGAACCAAAAACTAGGCCGTAAGGTGAATCCAATGACAGAAAAATAAGATAAAACAGAGTTACGATGAAGAAGATACAAGCATTTGAACCGGTGACATTGAAACTAAAATTCTGGGTCTCCCTCGTGCATGCTGTGGCTGGTGGAGAAGATGAACCAAATTTTTATCCAGTGTTTCTCGGCTTTTGGTGCTACGGTGCATCTGTTGGAGAAGATGAACTAAATTTTTATCCAGTGTTTCTCGGCTCATGGTGCTACGGTACATTCTAGCACATTTAGGTTAATCGAGTGGTCCTATGACTTTGGGGATGACCACCCCTAGGTTTTTTGACGTGTAGAATCCATTTCTGGGGTTAGATATTTCAAATTCTAAGTCTAAGATGATGATCAACAACTAAAGGTTCTAAGAGAATCCAATGAAAGATCAACGGTGAGATCGTGTCCGATTAATGTAAAATTTCAGCAAGACGATCATGGAGTCAGGACGGTCATATCTTACGATCAGAATCATAAATCAAATTTGGACGATAAACCGTTAGCAACCTAACATTGTAAGAAAACCCTCTCAACCCTCTCATTTTTTTTATATATTTGAAAATTTCAAATTATATACATATGATAAAATGTCTAAACTTGTAGATAGAATTTTATTTATAATTGTATGAAAATTTATGATGGTACATCAAATTTGGACTTGCATGTGTAGTTTATGCCATTAAAAAGATGATTGAAGATGTTATTTGGCCCTTTAAATCTGCTAGAAGGTTGTACTAATTTTTAGACAATTTTATACTCAAAATTTGAAGATTATTTCTTCTACAAAGTTGTTGATAATGATGTCTAGTTCATCCACAAAATTTTTCAACAATTATTGAGTTTTGTACGAATTTATACATATTTTAAACCAAATCTGGAGCTATAGACAGATTTTATTATGTGTTTGAAAAATCATTAAAAATTTTATATTAAACCAAATCTGGTAATTTCTAAGCAAGAAATGAAATTTGAGAAGTCTAGTTTCATAATAAATTTTTAGATCATGGAATTTATTTATAAAATTTAAGTATGGAATTAATTTAAGGAAATGTGATAAATCAGTGTCATAAAATTTTTGAGAATTTTATAGAATTATTTATAACTTATTTTTGGGAATTTATTTCTGAAAAATGACCCAAATATATTTATTGAATATTCTGTACATTTTCACGAATTTTAGAAATGTATAAATAATTTATTTATAATTTTTATTATCTAAGGTATAACCTGAAAATTTCTAGACAGGTTTAAGATCGTGACTTCAATTATTTATTCGGATAAAAATCAGTTATTGTGTTGGTCCAATTCATCAAATATAGTAAATTAGTAATCCATGTATGGGTGTATTGTGGTTTATTTAATATTGTGGTAGTCTAATCTTGTAAATTAAAAATCCATGCACATGTGACTTTGGTTTATTTTCTCTGTATCTAAATTATTATTTCCTACCATGGTTTAAATAAATTGTTTATTTAAATGCTGTACATTTGTTTATTATTGTGTGATATGTGTAATATTTTATGTTGAGAATTTTAATGAGTTGGTATAATATCAATTGTGATAAAAAAATTGGAATTACTTGTGAGTAATATCAAAATTAACTGAAATGATTAACGACATATACAAAGTTAACAATTGACGGTTAATACTAGATGTTCAGAGTGAGTCTTGGTTTTAAAGAGTGTACGAAATTAAGGGTTGACGGTTAATACTGGTTGTTCAGGGTGAGTTCTGATTTTAAAGAGTGTATGAAATCAAGGGATTGACGGTTAATACCGGTTGTTCAGGGTGAGCCCTGGTTTTGAGAATTCTCACGTAAATTGTGTTGCGAAACTCTAAGATGGCACGGGACTTATTTGAACCCTTTTCGGTATTTGGTTTTGGAATAAGGGTGGATGTGCTGGTGGCACACAGGGAGGTTACATACCCCTGGCAGACCGTTTCCTTGGGGCAGACCACGGATGCTACTACTTGGGTATATAACTCTAGACGTGGGCATCCCTGGTAGTTACGGTTGGTAACACTAAAATATTTGACCAAGGGAGGGTTTCAAATTAACCGTTGCCATGCTTAGTAGTTGGTAAGTTAAATCTCTTTAGTGAGATTTCGAGTGTCACCTAATTTATTAAAATTATTGAAATTATTTTAATGGTTGTAATTTATGCTTACAATTATATTGTTATCTCATGTTTATAATCTCATTATTTTTCTCTTAAAAAGAATGGTAGGTTGGTTATGTTTTTTTACTGTGTTGCAAAACTCATGGCATATATTTTTGTTGCCCTGGCGTTTTATGCCAGGTCTTGGCGAGAAAATAATTGAAGCTGAAATGGAGCCGACGCTAACGTAGAGCTTTGGCTGACCTGAAACCCCGAGTAGAGCCGAATAAATTATATTATTTTATATAATAGCTATTAAGGACTTTATAATTTCATTTAATGTTGTATTTGGATAATTTTAAGTTTTTATCTATTGTTATTTGGACGTTTGGTTATGTACGAGAGTTAGATTACCCTGTTAAGATGTCAACTTTTTAGTTTATTAAGTCATTTTGTTTATTTAATTTCTCTTGATACTTCAAAAAAAAAATTGGGGCGTCACAGTACCTCACCATGGGGTGCACCTGTTCTGTTTGTAAAGAAGAAAGACGGCTCACTAAGACTGTGTATTGACTATCGTGAACTGAATAAGGTAACTGTAAAGAATAAATACCCGTTACCGCGTATTGATGACCTGTTTGATCAGTTACAGGGTGCTAAAGTATTTTCGAAGATCGATCTCAGATCCGGATACCATCAGTTGAAAGTTAAATTAGATGACATTGATAAAACTGCTTTTAGAACGAGGTATGGACATTACGAATTTTTAGTTATGCCTTTCGGAGTTACCAATGCACCTGCTGCATTCATGGACCTCATAAACAGAATTTTTAAGCCGTACCTTGACAATTTTATTGTTGTATTTATTGACGACATACTGATTTACTCCAAGAATATAGAAGAACATGAACATCATCTGAGACTTGCCCTACAAACCTTAAGAGAACAGAAACTGTATGCTAAACTGTCTAAATGTGAATTTTGGCTTGACCATGTTATGTTTTTGGGGCACGTTGTTAGCAAAGATGGGATTTCTGTTGATCCGCAGAAAATCGAAACTGTAGTGAACTGGCCTAGACCAACCAACGTGACTGAAGTCCGAAGCTTTTTGGGTTTGGCTAGATATTACAGAAGATTTGTCAGAGATTTCTCCAAAATTGCTTTACCGTTGACTCAACTGACTCAGAAGGGGATATCATTTGACTGGACTGACCAAAGAGAAACTGCTTTCCAGGAGTTGAAAACTCGACTAGTGACTGCACCTGTTCTGACCTTACCTTCAGGTACGGATGGTTATACTGTGTTTAGTGATGCTTCTCATAAGGGTTTGGGATGTGTTTTAATGCAGAATGGGAGAATAATTGCCTATGCTTCTTGACAACTGAGACCGCATGAAAAGAACTACCCGACCCATGATCTGGAACTTGCTACAGTAGTATTTGCACTGAAAATCTGGCGTCACTACCTGTATGGGGTGACATGTGAAGTGTATACCGACCACAAGAGTTTAAAATATTTCTTCACACAGAAAGAACTGAACATGAGACAGCGGAGATGGCTAGAACTGATTAAAGACTATGACCTATAGATTTTGTACCATCCGGGAAAAGCCAATACCGTTGCCGATGCATTGAGCCGGAAATCGATTGGAAACTTAACCTGTTTACTCACTGGACAGAAAGAGCTGCTTTGTGACCTTGAAAAATCTGAAATTGAAATTGTTTTGCGAGAACAAGGTGGAACCTTAGCTGCTATTTCTGCTCAACCGGCACTGATTGAAGAAATTAAAGAGAAACAGCAACTGGATGACTTCATGAAGAAGATCATCGAAGAAAGAGAACCTAAGCCGAGACCGGGATTCAAATTTGAGAATAATGTACTGAAATTTCAAGAAAGACTGTGTGTACCGAACGATACTGAACTGAAAAGAAGAGTTCTGCAGGAGGGCCACAACTCAAAATTTTCTATCCATCCAGGGAATACGAAAAATGTATCAAGATCTGAAACTGAATTTCTGGTGGCCGGGAATGAAGAAAGAAATTGCCGATTTTGTATCCAAATGTCTTCATTGCCAACAAGTTAAAGCCGAACATCAACGACCCGCAGGCTTATTGCAGCCCTTACCAATACCGGAATGGAAGTGGGAGCATATCATCATGGATTTTATAGTGGGATTGCCTCGCTCCAGTAAAGGTATGGATTCGATTTGGGTTATTGTTGATAGACTGACTAAATCTGCTCACTTCTTACCTGTTAAGACAATTTATAATGCGGACAAATTGGCTATGCTCTATATTGATGAAATTGTTAGACTGCATGGCGTACCTGTGTCCATTGTTTCTGACAGGGATTCGAAATTTACATCGAGATTTTGGCAAAGCCTACAGACTGCACTGGGTACTGAACTGAGACTGAGTAGTGCCTATCATCCTCAGACAGATGGCCAGTCAGAAAGGACCATCCAGACTCTGGAGGACTTATTGAGAATGTGTGTCCTTGATTTTCAGGGAAACTGGGAAAGCCATTTACCATTGGCTGAATTCGCCTACAACAACAGCTACCATTCGAGTATTGGTATGGCGCCTTTCGAGGCATTGTATGGAAGAAAATGTAGATCTCCGATTTGCTGGGCAGAAGTTGGAGATGGGCCTTTGCTTGGGCCCGAGATTGTATATGAAACAACTGAGAAAGTGAAACTGATACAACAGAGATTGAAAACTGCGCAGAGCAGACAGAAGAGTTATGCTGATGTCAGAAGAAGAGACAGAGAGTATGAAGTGGGTGATCACGTATTTGTGAAAGTGACACCAATGAAGGGCCAGACTCGTTTTGGAGTCAAAGGCAAGTTAGCGCCAAGATACGTCGGACCGTATGAGATTATTGAGAAAATTAATCCGGTGGCGTATCAGGTTGCGCTCCCTCTTGAAATGGAGCACATGCATAATGTTTTCCACATTTCGATGTTAAGAGATTATCTTCGGGATCCTTTCCATGTAATTGAGCCTACTCGGGTAGTGTTGAGTGACGACTACACTTACGAGGAACGGCCTATACAGATTGTAAATAGACAGATTAAGAAACTGAGAAACAAAGAGATCTTGTTAGTGAAAGTCGACTGGCAGAACCATGGTGGCGTGTATGCCACTTGGGAAAGGGAAGATGACATGGCTAAAAGATATCCTGAATTGTTTCCACTGAACCCTGTTTTCTTCCTGAATGAAGGTAACTCGAGTTTAGAGGACTAAACTCTTTATAAGGAGGGGAGACTGTAACAACCCTCATACTGTTTACCGATTAATGACTGATTGATTATTGATAAACATTGATTACCGTTAAATTGAACTGATTATGACTGATAATTGGACTGGTTCAAGTACTGAACTGACTGACTGAAAACTGGAACTGAATTGACTGAGTGTGTATATTAATTTGTATTCTATCTGTTTAATTGATTATTTGATCTGTTTGTGTT